CAGTGTTACTACAGGAGGAAACCTAAACTAAACTAACTTTATTTATACTGGATAGCTCAATCAGTTCTAAACTGTTCTTTCTAAAGGTCCAGTAAGGATCATCTCTTATTGATCCAATCTTACTGCAGGAGGAAACTTAAACTAAACTAACTTTATTTATACTGGGTAGCTCTATCAGTTCTAAACTGTTCTTCCTAGAGGTCCAGTAAGGATCATCTCTTATTGATCCAGTGTTACTACAGGAGGAAACCTAAACTAAACTAACGTTATTTATACTGAATAGCTTTATCAGTTCTAAACTGTTCTTCCTAGAGGTCCAGTAAGGATCATCTCTTATTGATCGAGTGTTACTACAGGAGGAAACCTAATCCAAACTAACTTTATTTATACTGGATAGCTCTATCAGTTCTAAACTGTTCTTTCTAAAGGTCCAGTAAGGATCATCTCTTATTATTGATCCAGTCTTACTGCAGGAGGAAACTTAAACTAAACTAACTTTATTTATACTGGATAGCTCTATCAGTTCTAAACTGTTCTTCCTAGAGGTCCAGTAAGGATCATCTCTTATTGATCCAGTGTTACTACAGGAAGAAATGTAGGATGCCCATTAGCAATACGTCATGTAACATTAGTTAAATAGGAACTATTGCATCATGCAGTTGTGACAGTTACCATAGTAACGAGAAAGGACAGACAAACAGATTTCCAAGATGGCGATTAATAAACCACGTTATTAATGTTCACATTGTTTTACGAAATAAATTGTGCTTTCTACTGTTTTAATACTTGAATTATGGGATAGATCGAGAATTTAGTGAGCGGGCAACAAATTGGAGGTCCCACCGAGACTTTTATACATAAAAGAAGCTGTGAATGCGAAGGGAAAAGTATGATTTTTACGCTTTTCTAAATTCTTGATTTTCGTATTTTGATCTTTGCTTTTGGTGATTTGCTGGCGATTATGGCTGAAGAACTACAAGTAGAGATGCAAACAACGGTTTGCCAAGCACCCGAAGAAACGCTCCAAGCTATGGCAAAGGATTTTGAACTTGATATTTCCGAACAAAGGAAAAGTACAATTGTTTGCATGATTTTTAACCATATTGATAAAGAATTGATGGACAAAAACGAGGAACAACGAATGTTATTCTTGACAGAATTTCGCTCACGTTACTTTAAGAGCACAGAACCAAAAGAAAAAGATGTTTTAGAATCAGTACCCCCTGTAAAACAAAACGCAGGACAAAGTCAAAGCACATTACAAGGTATGTTAGAATCTACAAGTGTATTTCGTCGACAATTTAAGATTGTGGGACAAATTGGGCAACCAAATGAAAAAGACAAGTTGAGTTTCACATCCCTGACAAGACAAATTGACACTGGGGTTAAACAGGGTTACACAGAACAGGAAATTGTGGACGGTGTTATTCGTGCAATTAATGGTGGAATGGTTCTTCGAACTTACGTAGAAACTTACAAGGATCTATCTCTAGAGCGGTTACGAAAAATTCTTCGAAACCATTATGATGTAAAAAGTGCAACTGAGCTATATCAAAGTCTTGCATCAATATGTCAAGGGTCAAAGGAAACACCACAAGAATTTCTTATGCGTGCCTTGGATTTACGCCAGAAAATCCTGTTTTCAAGCACTCAAGATCAAAGTGAGGACACTTTGGTTTATGAAAATGATCATATTTAAAAGCTGTTTCTACGTACTGTTGAAACTGGCCTTCAAGATGAAAATGTTAGAGTAAGGGTTAGGGGGTACCTCAGAAACCCCACAATATCAGAGGAGCTTATTTTGCAAGTGAATAATGCAGTGTCGACAGAGAATGAACGGGTAAGAAAATTAAGAAACCAGAATCGCCCAAAGCCTGCCCAGGTTTCCCAGGTAGCAGAGAAAGCTGAGTCCCAAGATAAAAT